CACAGAACCTCCCCCACTCCGGCGACCGGCGCCGCCGGGCAGCACGTCGCCAACTCGCCCACTCTGGCCGACTCGCCCCCTGCTCTCCACCTCGCCGGCTCGCCCGGTCGCCCCCTGCGTCCCTACCCTTTTCCTAGCTGCGGCTGCCTCCTCCCAGGTCCCAGCGCGGCAGTGGCGCCCCTTCTTGAGCACCTTCGAGCGACACCCTAGAGCAGAACACCCTAGAGCCTAGATCCACTCCTCAGTGGTTCTGTGAGCTATTGAAATTTTCTTTTTTCTAATTCTTTTGGTTGTATTCTTAATTCTTGTAATGTAGATGAAGAAGAAGGGTGTTAGCATGTTTGCATTGTGGGAGAAAGCTGCAAAGGAAAAAAAAGCCTCCACATCCACACCAAATGCTCATTCTGTTGAGATTGAGAGTAATGGAGCAATATGCAGTTAGCACTTGTGCCAGCACAGAATGATGGTGAAGCTCCCCAACTTGTGCCAATGTGGAATTATGATTTTATGCTTCCAACTTGTAGTTTGGTTATTATTATGGATTTGTTATGGCCATTATAACTTATGTTCCATTGTATTGCATATTTGCTTTGAAATTTTATACATGTGGCATACCCAGCCGCAAATTCCTGGCTCTGCCACTGCCCACGTCCTACCGTTGCTTCATCACCTACCTCACTAGACTACCACTAATGTCTCCTTGGTGTCTGTCTCCATCACAACGCTCCTTCCTCAAACCACAACGCTGCTTATGTCTAGGCTCTCGCCGCGCACACGTGAATGTATCTAGGCCAATTTGGTGATTTGGTGTTTTGGCGATTGATGAACACAAGTGTTATGACTAATTTGTGTTTTGCAACGGTAATCACATTTCAGTTAGTCACAAGTTGATTGGTCACAAATGTCTTGGCCCCATAGACTTGGATTGATGATTGGGGTATGGCGTAGAGGATATTCCTGAAGAATAAGGACACTATAAAGCCAATATGGACACTATAAAGCCAATGTAGGCTTGATGCTTGGATATTAAAGCTTTGTTTTTCTTTTGTTATACCATTTAGGGGATCCAAGACATTCGTCTTGTGGGAGTTTAAGTGAGAGAAGTTTGATACACAAGAGAGTAACTCTTAGTTAAGATCATGATGGTAAGTGGCTCCATCAAAGTTGTTTCAAGTCAAAGATCTCAAAGAAGTTGGATCGATCGAGATCAGACTTGTTTGAAATGGACGCTGCTGGATGTTTTTGACATGCACCATTGTTTCACATTTATGCTTGGCTGCCATCCATTATAATAGCTCAAGCATTAGTTGGTTGCGCAAGCCAAGTAGACGAGGCTCCATATTCACTACAAGAAATTCCATGATACATGACGGTTTACATGTGACGTATTCTAAGAACATCATGGATCAAAGAAGGGTTTAGTTGGACTCCAACAGCCGGCCCATTTACAAGTATCGAGTATATAACAACAGACTCAGGGTTCTGGATCGAGCATCTCCCACCACCAACCGTCTTTCTCTCGTGTCTCTCTAAAGTAGATCGGGCTCCCTCCGGTGACGGAGCGGCTCTGGTGGCAGCGCCCCCTCCGGCGATGGCCCCCTCTCCGGCGACGGCTCCCTCCGGCGATGGAGCGCCTCCAGTGGCAGAGCCCCCTCCAGTGATGGCTCCCTCCTGCAGCGGCCCCCTCCAGAGATGGAGCGCCTCCCATGGCAGAGCCCCCTCCGGTGACGGCCCCCTCTTGCAGCGGCCCCCTCCAGCGACGGAGTGCCTTCGGTGGCAGCGTCCCCTCGGGCAACGGAGCGCCTCCGGTGGCAGCGTCCCCTTCGGCGACGGAGCGCCTCCAGTGGCAGCGCCCTCTCCCGCGCTAGGCTCACTGGCCAAGGGACAACCTATCACGGATTCAACATGTTCATGGTTGTATACCGTTTTAGTATTCTTCCAGATCTAAATAATACCAATATTATCTTATCTGATCTACTTCTCTAATATGCCATCATCTTTCTCAGATTTGCCATGTCTTTCTTCTGATTCTTCTTTTTCTGTGTTGTTCGTATTCAAGACCAAGGAGCAGATGGAGATGGAGATAATGCTGCAGCAAATGGCGTGCAAGCAAGAGTGTCTGTCAAATGGTGATTTTCACTTTCCTGTATTAATCCCTTTAGATCAACTGTGTTTTAAAAATCCTGTGATGGACATAAGCCGATAGATTTATGCCCATGGCTATTTGTGATGAACTGATAGTGAAAGATTTGGGGTACCTCAACACTTAGAGTGATGAACTGATAGCTTTCTCACCTCGAGGGATACAACTGCTGCTTGCATAGTCATTTTGGCTCTAGTAAATGAGATTTGGTGCGATGTCTCTTTTTCACATTAATCTTCCTATGCATTTATTTTGTACTAGTGCACTGCTATTTACCCTGTCTTAACATTGCTTCTATTTAACACTGCTCCTATTTAACACAACTCCTATTTACCTTGCCGTTAGCATTTGTTAGGAGAAAAACATTTCTTCATACTGGGTAACATTCTTAGATACAGTAAAGCTGTAGTCATTCATACTTGGGTAATATTTAGATACTTGAGTTAGCTCTCAGGGAAAATATTTGTAGTGCAACATTTCTGAGATTGTGTGATTGTGTTCTCTTTGGCAGCGTTGAGGCATCTCATGAGGGCTGTCATCATTACCAACTTGAAGCTGGCAGCACAAACCTGGAGATCAACCTTGAAGGTATGGTCCCTCTCCATGCACTAACCTGTTAGTTTACTGAATGTTGCTGCTCCTCAGTTTCTGACTTATTGAATGTGTTGCTGCAAGCCTCAAACCTACTACTAATTAATTTTTTTGTGGGATCAAATTAATGCACTTAGCCATATCTTGCATTCTCAAATTGTTGACACCTTGTGCTTGTAGGATCCAAAAGAAGCACTTGCAAGAAGATTTGTGTAATGTTCTCTTTTTTGAGATGTTGTAGTTGACAACCAGAATGTGTCATTTTTGGATGATGTAGGACCAAATTTTTGCTTTTGCCTTCTAACTTGTACGGTTGAATATAGGGTTGTTCCTTCTCTGTGCTTATTGTACATTACTTGATGCCTTGTTCATTGCCTACGGTTTAATTTGCCTACAAATGAGCTAATATTGTACATGTCTCATTTTCAGGAGACAAGTACAAAGACCAGGACCATGATGCAATGGATTTTTTTTAAGGAGTGCCACTATATAGCAAAAAAATTCAAGCCTATGCACTAGCTATCTAGAATGCTATTGTAATAGATGTGAAGGTCGACAAAGACCTATTTTTGTGTTTCATGTTTTATGATGATCAGAACATCTTGTGTTAATGTACTGGAAAATAACCAAATTGTTGGGCTTTATGTGCTTTTCATTATATAATCTGTGATGGTCAATTTTGATGTACACGTGACGATCACATGGAACCTCAAATTTGTGACGAGAAACATCATACGTGGCAGATGGATAAGACGGTCTATTTTGTCACACTCTAACGGGCCTAGCCTGGGTTGAATGGGCTTCCAGGGATTCCATGACGAACACAAATGCCAATCTGTGACGGCTTATATCGGTCCAGCAAATACATGACGCGGGATACATGACATTTTTTCCAATCGTCATGGTTAGTTAACCGTGACGTGTTTTCGCTGGTCTATGACGAAAGTAAACCGTCATGTATAAGGGTATTTCTATTAGTGATTTGAGTTTGTATGATGTTCCACACGTATCTGGAATCACTGATAGATTCTAAAATGTATTTTTAATATCTTCCAAATTTATGAGATTTTGCAAGCTATAAGTACTCCCTCCATTCTAAAGTATACGACATTTTGGTTTGGTACATTACTTTTACTATATATCTAAACATAGTGTATATCTAAGTATATACGTATCTAGAAAAATCAAAACGTCTGATGATTTGGAATAGGGAGTAGTTTTTAATACAAAATTTGCACATATATCTCATTTTCATACTAAATATTTTAGAAGTTAATGATACCTGCAATAATTAATTTTTAAGATTTCACTAGATTTTGTCAAGAAGAACATGTTATGTTGTTATTACGACTAGAGGGAGTAATGATCTAAGTTTTGTTGTTAAGTTAATTAAATGTATACATAGTTTAATGAATGGTCCTTCATTGAGAGCTTATGTTAAATTAAACTAATGTTTTGAAAGAAAAAAAGGATATTTCGCAATGCAACAAATGGTTAGACACGGCACTCACAAATTAATAAGATACAAATATATATCACTTGGCATGAAACACGTTATACAATGTATTACATTATATATAGCTTCTTTGTCAATTAAAATTAAGTAAATCCATATCGGTGCATGCGCATATTCTTATATATAAAATAATATTGTAGATTTTTTCAAATGATAATTAACTGTGGATAAGCCCTATCAGTTTGACATCCTAAATAAGCACAATGCATTGTCCTGGGAATCGGGGCACCGTTCGTTACCTCCAGGCTGACCTAGTGCGCCCCATGGTGAGTCTAGGAGGAATGGATCGAGAATCCGCACGACATATGTCTGTCTAGTGTATTCTTGGCATGGTCGTGTGTGTGCACGCATGTCGATCACTTCTCCTGCTTCCTCGGAGCATCGGATCCGGCATCTTTTCTATCCGGCCCGAATAATCAGATTCCAAAATCAGTTGGAATATTAACCACCGCTCCCCTGCTCCCTTCTTCTCGGCTAAAGATTGAGGAACAGCGGATAACGAGGCCACGCATCCGCCGGCCGTGCATGTACACATCATGCGTGTGTATATATAACCGTTCTCCTCCAGTTACGAGATAGCTATCACCATCTGCAAGCAGATCGATCCATATCCAGTGTATATCCCTCCCGATTGTTAAGAGAGCTCTTAGAGCGAGAGCTGAGGTAGGTTCTGCTGTCTGCTGATCGCCCGCGCCTAGTACATCGGCATCTGTACCTGTTCATCGCGTTCGATCGCCGGCTGGCCGAGAGATGGACCGCTTCGCCGAGACGGAGGGGAAGCTGGCGCACGACCCGCTGACGTACAACCCGGCCGGCTTCGCCGACGAGACAGAGGGCAAGATGGAGCAGGACCCGCTGATGTACAGCCCGTGCAGCGCCGCGAGGGCCACGGCAACTGGCATCCCCGTCGTCGGCGACCAAGGCGTGGCCGTGTTACCGGGGCCGCTGATCGTGGGCGCGGGGCCGGCGGGCCTGTCGTGTGCGGCGAGGCTCACCATGGGATCCGTGCCCTACGCGCTCCTGGAGCGCGACGTGTGCGTCGCCTCCATGTGGCACCGCCGCACGTACCACAGGCTGTGCCTGCACCTGCCCAAGCGCTACTGCGAGCTGCCACTCATGCCCTTCCCGCGCAGCTACCCCACGTACCCGACCAGGCAGCAGTTCCTCGCCTACATCGATGAGTACATGCGCACCTTCGGCATCCGCCCCTTCTTCCGCCAGGAAGTCGTCGCCGCTGAGCACGACGGCGAGTACTGGTGCGTGCGCACCAAGGATGCCATCGCCAGCCCCATCAATGGCGGCGGCGAAGAGTCCATCAACTTGTGCGCCAGGGAGTACCGCTCTAAATGGCTCATTGTGGCCACAGGGGAGAACGCGCAGCCTGTTGTACCAGAGATTGAGGGAATCCATAACTTCAAGGGCCAGGTCATGCACTCCAGCGAATACCGTAGCGGCGAGGCCTTCCAAGGCAAGAAGGTGCTCGTTGTCGGCTGTGGCAACTCCGGCATGGAGGTGTCTCTTGACCTCGCCAACCATAATGTGCACACCTCCATTGTTGTGCGCGATTCGGTGAGAAATTATACTGTGTATTTTTATTATCAGATAGATTATTATTACTTTTGTTTGCAGTTTGATTATATATTCTTCGCTATTGTGCATATATATATATATATAGTTACTTTGTTAATAGTTGGTTTAATTTTTTAATATGGATTTAACTAATCATTGCGATCACTATAAAAGAATCTGTAATTTGGGAATTTTCTTATTTCCCATTAATGCAAACCTTTTTTATTTTTTTGTTTTTCTTAAATTCATTCCACAAAATTGTACACGACTTATAGCCCTTGACGTGATAATAAATAGCACGTGATTACTTCGTGGGATTCAAGAGCATGTGCTTCATCTATTTTTTATGAAATAATAACACATAAAAAACAAATCCTTAGCCAAATGAACAGGAATGCTAACTATTTGGTTAACAACACTAACAATAACAAGTTATGCCATTTTTTATACTAGTATATTGCCCGTGCTAATACTATGGTAATGTCTAGAAAAAAATAAAACATAAAACCAAAATAAATAGCCTCTTTAGGCTCCTGTGATTCCCTACAACTCGTAAAACATCTGTACCCTATGGATTTTAGGACTAACTACTAAAGCCCTCAATGCCATCATCTTCTAGTAAAACCATAAAGTTTTTTCAGTACAATATGTATTAAAAAATATTTGAGTATACAAAGACCAAACTAATATAAAGGAAAATATTGGAAAAGAAATAAAGTGCAGCATACCTTTATGTTAATCACTTTTATGCTGCTTGGAATTTTCTATATAACAATAGTTATCAATTAGAAGAAATATAATTAACCACACATGAACCTGGGCATTTGACACTCAACAGGTGCCTAAATCAATATCATGGCATCATCACTAACCACACATGAACCTGGGCATTTGACAATAGAGCATTTAGTCAACTTTCAATTCCACAGTATGATCACAATGAAATTGCATTTGACACTCAACAGCTACCCAATACCCGTACATGACCAGCACCAAATTAGCAGCTAAAGCAACCATCAGAGCATGGAATACGCAAAACAAATCAAATAATTGGAACCAGAGAACAACAGTGCTTACGATCCAATTCCTGGTTTTGGTAAGTCCTTGGGCGAGCCCATGGGTGCAGTAGGCAACATCTAATACCAAAGACACGAACGGAAGGAGGCACAGATGTGGAAGGAAGGGATTGACGAAGAGAGGACATCGCACCTGAACAACATTGCCACCATACACATGTGCTAGACAATAACCTGTATGAAGATAGAGGAACAAATTCAAGCAAAAATAGTATGTATGCAAGTATGTATGCAGATTCTTGACGTGGCTATTCCATCTAGAATGTGTGTTATCAAGTAAAGCGCCCTCTAACACCTGGGATCGTAGACAGTAGTGATCTGGGAGGCCAATTACAAATACTATTAAATTTTGCCCGAAATTACTACCATGCATCCATAAAAAGCTACTTCGCATGGGTTTAGAGATCAGAATCAAGGGAGGCCTGAGAGAGGGAGAGCAGCATAAATCGCATACTCCATCAAGGATCACATCTATATTAGTTATATAGCATGAGGGAAATTACAAAAATGAAATCATCTGCACCTGTACACAGTCACCTCCGTGCCAGTTCAAGAAGTTGCTGCATCTAGATACTAATGCTCAAGTACATGTCCACGCAGTCGCCGGGCGCCACTGGCAGGCCACGCCTGACCGAGCCGCGTGCCACCGCCTGGAGGCTGCATACGGTCACCTCAGGGTCACCGCTGGTGGAGAATGGGGCACCGCCGCCACCAGATCCACCATGGGCTGGGGACGGGAGCTGCCATCAATGACTCTGGCGAAGTGACTGCTCGTGGCGCGGCTGATGGTCTCGCCGCCGACACTGGAGGAGAAGTGGCCTTCGTGCCCTCGGCGTCGGGCGACTGGAGCACCTCCGGCCTTCTGCTTGGCCGGTGGCCACGCTGTCAATGGGCTGATCTCGGAGGTACGGCGGCGCTGATGGGAAAGTGAGACGAATATATGGTGAGGACGGGCAGGCCGCGCCCCGATGGCAGCGCCCTTGGCAGGCCCCCGACGGCTGCGCCCTCAGCCAGGGGAGGCGCGCCCGCAGGAAGGCCAGCAATAGCCGCGGCCAGGGCCAGCGGGTTCGCGATGGATGGCGAAGCGATCGCGCATGGCGTGGGCAGTGGTTCATGGCGCTAACAGCCAGCGGGCGCCATCGTTCTGGCGGCGAGACTGGCGGAGCGACCGCTCGCCAGCGGAGATCGGGCGCGTGAGTCATGCGCGGCAATCGCGGCGTTGCGCACGCGTCCGTTCGTGTGGAAGCGGGGCGGGGGTGTAGTGGTTGGGGCGTGCGTTGAAGCCCAGGTGGGATGATCCAGAGAACTCTGGCCGTCGGATTGTGTTGAAGCCTTTGAGAGAGGATTAGAAGCCATTGATCTTAATGATGTTGAATTCCTGTGTGCAATTTCTTTGGTGCATAGTGGATGGACTATCTCAGCAGGTGATGCAATTCTGGGTGTACCCAGCCTTATTTTGATTGGTCCCTTATAGTAGAGATTGTGGACCATTGAATAATGGTCATCAACACAACTCTTTATACCATGCTACCTATTTTTGTTGTCTTTCTATTTTTTCTGATATTGGAATGTGATGTACAAATCAATATTAAAACTAGTTTAATATTTACAAGCATATATAAGTGTTATTGTCTCAACATGCTTTTTAAATTTCTAGTAGAACAGGGTTAGCTGCCCCTCAAGCTTACTGTTTTTCTCTTTTTTGCTAAATGCTTTTTTAATTTGTATCCATGTTGTAGAACCAAACGAAAAAAGGGTTAGCTCCAAGTGTTTGCCTCTCAAGCTTACCTTTATTTTTTTCTCTTTTTACTAAATGCATTTTTAATTTGTATCCATGTTGTCAGCAAACGAAAACAAGAGCACTTAAACTCGTTCCCTCTTTCATTTTTAGTTTATAGTATCTTAGATAGATGGTAATTTCTCTTCAACTGGTTGTAACTGTGATTAGTGCACTATCAACTTATTGTGAACTATAAAATTGATTGTATGTTTTGTGATGTTTGCAGGGGCACGTCCTTCCAAGAGAGATCATGGGACTCTCAACTTTTACTTTGTCCTTGTGGCTTCTTATGTTTCTACGTGTCCAGATAGTGGATCGGATCCTTCTCCTCCTTGCCTGGTTCGTTCTAGGCAATACTGCACGCTTTGGTATTCCTCGACCTAGTATGGGTCCAATGGAGCTCAAAAAAGTGTGTGGGAAGACGCCTGTGCTTGACGTGGGTACAATAGCAAGGATCAAGTCTGGAGACATCAAAGTAATTAGTTAATCTTTTTTATTTTATGTCGTTGTCATTATAAAATTATCTTAATTGCATAGCTCATATTATTGTACTTATTGCATATTTCCAGGTGTTTCCGGCAATCCAAAGTTTCCAAGAGCATGGTGTAGAGTTTATTGACGGGACGATCGAATCATTTGATGTTGTGATTCTTGCCACAGGTTACAAAAGCAATGTTCCTTATTGGTTGAAGGTAGTATGACTTTTCTTTTTCTATGTTATCCTTATTGTTGATTGTGCCTTGAAAATAATTATGTATCTAATTAGATTTTTTGATATATAGGAGAATGATTTTTTTTCACAAAAAGATGGATTTCCACGCAGACCAAATGAATGGAAAGGAAAGAATGGTCTCTATGCTGTTGGGTTCTCAAGACGTGGTCTCCTTGGTGTGTCCATGGATGCCACCAAAATTGCAGAGGATATTGTGCAGTCTTACAATGATATATATAAGCTATGAAAATCATAAGAACAAATGATATTTTATTGTTTCATTGCTAAATTTAGCCATCATCATTTGAGTATTTTGTAAATATATGTACTGGTCTATTAAAACAGGTGGATATGCTAGAAAACAAATATTAGGCTAGCTTATCTATCAACGCACTCATTATATAGTTGACATAGGCTAGTACATGTATCATTTTAGAGGCCCAATAAAATAGGTGATAGGATTGATTTGTTATGTGTTTTTCTTTCTTCCTAATTTTTTTGGCAAATATTGTAAGTTGGTTTTGCTGTTATCAACCACTTGTAATGGATGATATATATCTATCATTATGTTTATGGACACATCTTATTGCTTCTCATGATGATATTATACTTTTCTTACAAAATGATAATTATATGAATTGTTAAATCTCAATACACAATATAATTGGATTGCATATTTAATAAATATTTAAAAATAAGCATATTTTTAACTACTTTCATTATTGTTTAACAATCATTTATGAGAATTATATTAAAGTGCTACTCTTTTTTAGCAAAACCATCACAAGCTACAATAATTTAGCTGAGTTACATAATAAATTCTTAGTTCTTTTTGGACCACTGCAAAATGAGCATTACAGGTTGTTGGGGGACTTGTCGCACTTCAAATAAGTGTTATAGGTTATTGGTGACTTGTCACCAAAGAGAGGGGACTTGTCGTCAGAGAGAGGGGAGGATCCCAAACAGAGGGAGGGAGGTTAAACAGTGAAAAAAGGAGAGTGGGATGGCCAAGGGTCATTTCCCTAAGCCTTAGTGCACCATTTATATGAGGGGGAGATGGAGGTTAAACAGTGAAAAAAGGAGAGTGGGATGGCCAAGGGTCATTTCCCTAAGCCTTAGTGCACCATTTATATGAGGGGGAGATGGTTGTTTGTATTGACTTCCTCGGTGAGGCTATGAGTTACTAACAAGTCCTCAAACTTTGCAATTAGACCACTAGATGTGTATAGATATGGCCCTAAATCTAGTATCTACATTATATTATATACACAACCTATGTGTCGGTGCAGAAAGTGACCAACACGTAAATATTTGTAGTTTTGTCGTACGTTGCGATCAGAGGTGGCCTAGCACTCAATGACGCAGGGTTTATACTAGTTCAGGCAACGTGCCCTATGTTCAGTTTGAGTTGGTCGGTGACTTTATTCCTGAGCCTAGATGTTCGAAGTTTGTAGTGGGGTTACAAACGAGAAGGAGAAAGATGGGGGTACAAGAGGTCCGGTCGGACTCCGGTCGGAAGGGCCGATAGTGACGGGAGCCCCGGTACGAGCTAAGTGTTCAAGCGTGTGCTTGTGGTTCGAACCTGGCAGTTATGTGGTTGTGAACTAGCGAACTTGGTTGATCTAATGAATCTGGAATGACTTGAACGACCTGAATGTTGGGAGAGAGCGCATCCCCTTTTATAGATGAAGGGGATGGCCTTACAAGTGAGAGGGAGAGAGTTCCTACGCTTCTAAGCCTTGTTGCCCACGCCGGTAGGTACAGGATGATGGTAGGCGCCCACAACACTGTTGAGTGTTAGATGCATGTGGGAGGTCGCGTCGTCTTCTTCAGGTATGGCAGATGTCGGTACCTGCTATACTGTTGATGCCCAGAGGCATGTGAGGGGTTTTACCATGTTCTCCCGGTGTGATACATGCCGGCGCCCACAACACTGTCGATGCCCAGAGGCATGTTGGGGGAGCCTTACCGTATGGGAGTTAATGGCGCCCACAATATTGTAGGGGAAAATGTTAGCGCCTACAACACTGTTTGGGCTCTGTCGTGCCAGGGAGGTTGCAGAGTATGGTTTCTGTAGGAGTACAGGGTACGGTCCCAAGTATTGTAGTTTGACTTGTGTTCCCTACCTTACTTTCTCCATCTGTTTCCTGGCCCTTACTGAGCGGGTGTCCCGGTCGGTGGGTCCCGGTCGGCTCTGATCGCGCCAGTCGGAGAAGAGCAGTGAGCAGGGGTTCGGTGCACCCCCAGTCGAAGACGTGGGTCGGAGTCGGAAGTGGTGTTTGGCCAAGCCTTTTGGCTGAAGGGGCCGTCTGGAGGCGGGCTGGAGGCCAAAGCGAGCGCTCCGGTCTGACGGGCCATCCGGAGGTGGGTTGGAGACCGAAGCAAGCGCTCTGGTCATAGAGGTGGGCCAGAGTCAGAAGCGGGCGCCATTCCTTCTCGGCTAGGCCTTCCAGTCGGTGATCGGATCGCCCCTCTGGCCTGTCGTTTAGGTACTTGGGCCGGCCCATGAGTTGCACGTTTGTTTGCAACGTCATCTGCTGGGTCGAGCCTTCGTTGGGAAGTCGGTCCGCGAGGGACCCTGGGTTTATGACTCCGACAGGAGCCCCCGAGCCCCCGGGTGATTTGGGCAGAATCATCCAGTGGATTTTTGTCTTAACGACGGGTGCAGCCCCTGAGCCCCCTGGTGATTCAGGCGGAATCATTTGGTGGATTTTTCGTGTTGCCAGCGGGGGAAGTTTTTTGTTTTCATCAGCGGGTGCGCGCAAGCGCACCTGCGGGTGTAGCCCCTGAGCCCCTGGGCGATTCGGGTATAATTGCCTGGGGGTTTTTGTCAGTGGGCGTGTGTGCGTGTATTTTAGTCGAGACGAAATCGTCAACCAAGGCGTCGTTGCGCAGCCAAGGTGGTTAGTTTTTTAGGGATCGGACGAGGTGGAGCTCACGGATCCTGTCATCGGTGCGCGCCGTGGGATTGGGCGAGTCAGAGTCGTGGATCCTGGCTTCAGTGCAGCCCACGCAGCCAAGATAGTTTAGTCAGTTAGTTTAGGGATCGGGCGAGCTGGAGCCCGCGGATCCTGATGGGGCGAGTTCGGGGTCGCAGACCCTGGCCTCGGTGCAGTCCGCGCAGCCGAGGCAGTTAGTTAGTTAGTTAGTTTTGAGATCGGACGAGATGGTGCTCGTGGATCTTGGCGTCGGTGTGCGCCATGGGATCGGGCGAGTCGGAGTCGTGGATCCTGATGGGGCGAGTTCAGGGTCGTAGACCCAGGTAGTTTTGGAGTGCAGGCGTAGCCGGATGGGGCGAGTTCGGGGTCGCAGACCCAGTCGTTTTGGTGTGCAGTCGAAGCATAGCCGGATGGGGCGAGTTTAGGGTCGCAGACCCAGGCGTTTTGGTTTCTTGAGCCCCCGAGCCCCGTTGGGCCTTGGTAGGCGTCGGTTTTGAGTTGTGTGCATTACCCCATCCTCGGTTTCTCACAACCGAAGGGGCTAAGTTTTGTCACTTGCCTCGATCGCTCGGGCTTGAGTGACGCGCTCGGTGACCTTGCTAACGGATATGATCGAGTGGAATCCGGGTCCATCATTCATGACGGGGTCGGCCTAGCCCTCTTGTGACATTCCACTGCTCCTTTACCTACAACCCGACAGATGCCTGGGTTGTTCCGGAGACCGACCCGGGTGGCCTAATGGCCTCCCCTCGATGGAGATTCTATGGGCTTGGCAGAGGCTTAGGATCGAACGAGAAGGTTGAGATGACCCTGTATGCCAGACTGGGCGAGGGCCGCACGGGGCTCATCTATGTTTTTCTCCCCTAGCTCTGTTTGATGGGGGGCGGCCTCAAGCCCTTCATGGGCCAGCCTTCGAACCCTAGTCGAACATTGCTCATGTCGAATGAGGCAACTGTCACTTCGTGACGCAACACGGAGCATTATGATGCATTTCGCTGCATGTGCGATGCTTAGTTCTCGAGCCCCCGGGTGGTTCAGGGCCCGAATCGTCTGCGGGGCACGGGCGTATGGAATGAATGCCCGTATGGATGTATGAAATGATTTAAATAAAGAAATAGCGGGGGTCGATAGTGTTACCTTGATGACTCAAGTGACGGGGTTTTGAAGAGCTCTAATCGAAAATGTCCGACCGGGACCCGTGCTCGTCGTTTGTGACGGAGTCGGCATGGCCTACATGGGGGCATCCCATTACTCCTTACCTATCTCTCGGCGTGTTTTACTGAGCCGTTTGATCGACTAGGAAGCCCGATGGTCTCTCCTGGCGGAGATTCCTTTGTTTGGGTTTTTCCAAGTCCCACCTAGGGAGGCGGAGAGTTACCTACGCATGGTGGCACTTTGGTTTCTGAGCGTAGCGTGCGGTAGTGGTGGGCCATACCCAGGCCATGTCCTGTCTTACTAGGCGTTGTTCCGTCTGACCAGGCATCGTTCCGTCGGTCAATGTGCGTCCTAGAGGTCCGGGTGCATCCCATCGTTTTCCATCCGCATTGAATGGGGGAACGGAGAGAGTTTTTTGCTTGGATCTTTTGCCCCTCTTCAGCTGTAGCGTTTCCTTCTTAAATAGGGGGAGGGAGAGGGCTTCTCATCGCAGTCCTTTGCCTGTTCTCCAACTATTGTCTCTCCTCCTTCTTCCTCACCAAGAGTGCTTGTATGCCACGGCGGTTCCTAAGTGAGAGAGAGGGTAAGTGAGGGGGAGGACTTATAGATCCTTTCATGAATCTGGAGTGTGATGTCGAGCTGGAGGCTGCCCGAGGCAGTGCTGGCCATCTTTGCCTGAGAAGGGGTGGCTTCCGCCGAAGGAGGTGGTGCGTTGGATCCATCTGCGAGGCCTTTTTTGGAATGGAGCCGTGTGTGGATTTTCTCCGATGGATCTTCATCGGGCGAGCCTTGTCGGAGGGGAAGTTGCCCAGGATCATGCTGGTAGAGGGTTCCGTGCCTGCAGCTACTTAGGTTGGCAGTTAATGAGATCTCTTCCAGCCATGGTGGTCATATCTCGGTGGCCGCGTCTCTGCTCAGGAGCTACCTCGACTGATTGAGAAGGTCAGGAGCTTCATGCTCTTCTGCTGAGCATCCATGGGTGTGACACCCTTGAGGTACCCATTGCGCTTGCCGAAGTTGAGGGAGCGGAACCGGGCGGGTCCCTTGAGGTACCCGTTGCGCTCGTCGAAGTTGAGGGAGCGGAACCGGGCGGGTCCCTTGAGGTACCCGTTGCGCTCGCCGAAGTCGAGGGAGTGGAACCGGGCGGGGCCCC